CTGCTCCTGTAAAGATTTACAGCCTCAGAAACCCTGTACAGGGTCACTATGAGTCAGAACCAACTCCATGGCACATAACCACCACCAACCAACCACCACAAAGGCAAGAAGTGACTGGCTTACAAGCTTTCAAGAGGGAGTCTAGATCCAGAGGGGATAGAGGAAGGTAGAATCTCCACTGAGTAATATCTAATCTGCCTGGGCAGGACTGATGAAATGAGATGGGGATAGCACTCATGTGGTACAATAATGACTGACTCATGTGGTACAATAGGACTGACTGTGAGGGTTGGAAATGTAAAGGTAGACGTTTTGTAGCAAAAGGAGGGGAGTGGTTGACTTTGCAGTCTAGGAGCGGAGGTTCCTGGGACCATCAAGGGAGAAGAGCAGTGTGGGACTCTACCCAGAGAAACAGTGATGCCAGAGACGGAGGCAGAGACAATGACATGGAGAGATGGAGCGGCTGGGGACTCTAAACCCAGAGAGGGAGAGGGGCTGTATGCTGACAACCAGGGAGCAGGCTTGCAGGGTGTACCCTTTCGTTCATTGATGATACATGGAGGGGATTGTAACCATGGCAATGAAATGATATATGATAGGATGCAAGTAAAGCTAATGTTCTTCCATGTAAACTTCACATAATTCACAATAAAACATTAAAAAAAAAAAAAAAGAATAAGCAAGCTGTTTGCCAGGAAGCCATCAAGGCAAGCAATCAAGTTCCTTCAAGACAAACACCCCTGTAAGACTGAAACTCAAGAGGAACATATGAATAACATGTAAGCTTGCTGGTGATCACATTGGGCTACTGGTAAGTGGAAGAGGGGGAAAAGCAGCAATGAAGAAATAGGCTAAGTTCAACCACAGTCCATTGACTCCTGTTCACCTGGAGCTGAGAGAGAGAAGAGGAAGGACTGGTTGGTCCAAAGTGTGGTGAGACCTGGGGACACCTGAGCCCATGGACAAGGACATAGCCACAGAAGGCTAGAGCTGAGTGAAGCATAGCTGATAGGAAGTGAGGGGAGAGGCACAAGAACACCCAAACTTGCAGATTGTACCCATTTGACCTAGCCTTGATGGCTTGATAATCAGAACTCAACTAGAGAAGGATTAAAAAAAAACCAAAAAACACAATTTTTGATAAAGGATACAAGGGCAAATTGCTACAATTTGATGAACTTGACGTATACTCACGGAGGTAGTAAATACCAACAGAGAGAGAAGGAGTCTTCATATCAACTATCAATGCTATCCTCTCTATACACAAGGTAGATAGGGAAGGGCAACTTAGACACTGGCTACCTAAAATCAGGGGGCGATAAAGGCACGAAGTGACTGGTTTACAAGGTTTCAAGAGGCAGCTTAGTTTAATTGTGCATTTTCATCTTGTCTAGATGGGTCTGGTAAAAAGAGTTGGGGATAAGATTCTTATGATTCAATAGTGAGTAATTGTTATCGTGACTAATTGCGACTATCACAATTGTAAAGGTAGAAGTTTTGTAATAAAAACAGGGAGTGGTTAATCTTATAGTCCAGAAACAAAGGACTCTAAGGGACATCATTAAGGGAAAAGAGCACAAGTGGAATGCGGGACCTTATCCAGAGAAGCAGTGACACCGGAGATGGAGGCAGAGATGGGGACATGGAGAGAGAGAGCAGCTAAGGACTCTAGATTCATGGGAAGAATGGGTCTAAGAGCTGGCAGCCAGCAGACAGACTTGCAGAATGCGCCCTTTGGTGGTGTAAATTATTATATATGCCTGAGTGTTTAAAAAAAAAAAAAGCTAAAGTGAATAGAGAGAAACACTGTTAACTGATGGTACATGGAGGCATTGTAATCATTGTAATGAAACAAGGTACATGATTTGTTGAATGTAAAACTGATGAACTGCCCTGTAAACTTTTACTCAATCCACAATAAAAACCTTAAATTTTAAAAAAAAGACTATTGCCCCAAGGAAAATTTCCAACTTGAAACTGAAGATCCTTCCCAGCCAAGTAACAGAGGGGCTATAAAACATCCAACATGATGGGTGTGCTTCCCCAAACAGGCAAGTCTACGGAACAACAGGGGAACATTTGTCCAATACCAAGGATGAGAAGACAGGGAAGGACAGGCCAGTGGGAACACGTAACCCAGGGGGAAGCAGGGAGAGTGCTGACACATTGTGGGGTTCACACCCTTTCTGTGGTGCCATCTGCATGGGAAAACCAATTTGCTGTGTAAACATTCACATAAAGCACAAGGAAGCAAAATAAATACTCTTTCTGGGTGTTTTAACCAATTCTGATTATCTAAAATCCAAACAAAATATTTTAGATTAAATCCAAAACGCAGGTATGTAGAAGCAAAAGGAAAAAGATTTCACTGTGGCCAAGTAGCTAATTTACTCACACAAATCCCAAAGGGGTTGCTCAAAATCACTGACATGAAGCAGGTTTAGACATTCCACGCTCATGTATCTCATCATCTAAGCTTTCTAACGGTCTGGGAGTTGGCAAGCAGTAGGGCATAAAAGCAAAGTAGAAACCTAGGAGAGAATAAACCCCAGGATGTAAAGTAACAAGATGAATACCCAGGTGGAAGATTGTGGGCCTAAAGGCCATTTGGCTTTAAAAATACCTGAGTCTTAATGAGATTGGATTGAATTGCTTGGACTGTCAGGTATCCTGTAGGGCTCTGGCCAAGAAATTAACACTATTTTAGATTTGACCTAGAAATATCCTTTTATAGAAGTGTTTTATGAAAGAATCTTTGATGTGTATCATACAACTTCAGTACTTCGGAACACAGAGACTGTGTTTATTTTAAGATGAAGTAATTTGCTGCTTGAAACAATGAGACTTTGTCTTTCAAATGAACTTAAAAAAAAAATCTTGTGAATTGCAGAAAGATTTACAGAGCAGATCATCAGTTTTGCATTTAACTAATTCATTACAATGATGACAATCTCTACTAGGTACCATCAGTTAACAGTATTAGCTCTCTTCACTGTAACTCTCACTACCTTCATCTTTCCTCTGCCAATCTCCTTCTTGGTATATATTGCCTGCCCTGTCACCCACATTAACATGCGTTTACCCTCCGGCCAGTGAATATTTTTCCTTTCTCCCAGTAATCATCATAGAATGGTTCTTTTATCAAGAAAACCTTTTCTTAACTTTTTACACCAGTGGTCTCATACACTATTTGTCCTTTTGTGATCAACTAACGTCACTCAGCATAAAGTCCTCGAGGTTCTCAGATGAACTCTTAATCTGTTCTAAAAAGTTGGGGCACGCATTGGGCTGCAGTTCAAACTTATCAGTCACTCTGTGGAACATGAGGCTGTCTGCTCCCATTAAGATATATAGTCTGGGAAGCCTGACTACTCAGGGACTCTGTGAGTCGGAAAAGGCTCTATGGCAGGAGGTTTGGCTTGGCTTGGTTTTCTTAGACACTAAGAGAACAGAAGACACCAGGGCGTGTGTGCGTGTGCACATGTGTGTTAGTGGGCAGCTTCTCCTGGCTACCATGAGACAGGACTCTGGAGATCCTGGGGCAGATGAAGAAGAAGATGGGAATAAGTGCTCTGAACCAAGTGTAGAATTGCCAACATCTCAACCACAGGGTTTAGAAGTTGGGTTGTAATTCCAGAAAACAAAGACATTCACAAGCCCGTGTTCATAAAGTCACTTCTCCAAAGAGGTGCATGAGGGGTTTTGGAAGTGCTTATCTGTGTTCATGCTCTCCTAGGCTTACACTCAGATAAGAAGATGATGAATGATATTTATTGTCCACTATTTCCTGGAAATGACATATGACAGTTCTATAGCCCACCGTGATAATCCTGCAGCCAAGCAGACACTATACAAGTCAAGACAGCTTCACAAACCCGTGTTCGTAAAGTCACATCTCCACAGAGGTGCATCCTGCATCCAAATGGCAGAGGTGTGGTTGGGAAACATTCATCTCACAATTTCTGGAACAGAGCCTGATCTTGTGAAGAAGGAACTAGCTCTCCTCCTCCATGAGATCCCACCTTTCTCTCTCTCTCTCTCTCTGTCTCTCTGTCTCTCTGTCTCTCTCTCTCTCTCACACACACACACACACACTGAGGTCTACTTGTTCTTTCCTTCCACTCCAGAAGAGGGGGGTCTTTCTTTGTTTTGAGGGAAGAAATCATAGATGAGTGTTATCATTTTAAGGCTTGGCCTCCTGCTCTGGGAAGTATATGACCTATCTATCATTTCTCTTCATTGTACATGGTTTTAAAAAATGTTTTTGGTGTAACTTATAAATGGAAAAAGAACAAATGCTCAGGGCAGACTTCACTGTTTTAATCTGTTTTATCGTTATAATTAGAACATTATTAACAAACTGGGCCAGTCAATACAAAACCAGATCTACTAATAGTAGTATTCTCACTGTACAAGGTAATGAAAGGAAGAAAAAGGAGAGAAACAGAAATGACATTCAGTCTCCAGCTTCACTGCTCAGAGATTGTTCACTCAAAACAGAAGAACACCAAAACGTGAAGTTCCACATTTTAAAAATTAATCTTTTGAGTTTAAAGACAAGGATGTTCAGAAAACAACATTCTTCCACTACAGAATCATCAACTGACATCTCGTCACACCCGTACACTAATAAGCAAACCACACTCACCAGCACAATAGTCTTGAACAGAATTTTCTGAGTCTCTCAGGTCAGAAACTCATTCCTTCAAGTCTTCAAGGCAAATGTTTGGACCCATCTCGCTTGGCGAGATGAATGTTTCCCAATCACACCTCTGCCATTTGGATGCAGGATGCACCTCTTCGGAGATGTGACTTTACGAACACGGGTTTGTGAAGCTGTTGACTAGAGACTCTAATTTGCTGAACACCTTCTGCGTGGGTGGGTATCAAGAATTTACAAAACACACTGGGGTAACGGCCACACCCTCTCTGTCAGATGCTGTTAGTGAATCTACAGGCCCCATGAGTCACACACACCACAAAACGGACAGATTCATTACCTTTCAGGGTTTCCAGTAAGTTTTTGGCTACGAACCAACATATGGCTTCAAAAAAAGGGAACTTGAAAAGATCTGGTGTTTTTAGCCTTTTCTCCATCTCATAACACCTAAATGAAAACAATTTGAAGATATATTTAATAGTCATATTTCAAAATTATTGTAGGTAATTAACTTAAAGAAAATAAAAGTAGCAGGCTATGATACCTAAGACTCATCAAGTACCACCTTGCACCTAACACCACATCTGGAAAACACTGAACTGTGATCCCATCCAGGCTCTGGGTCTTCACTTACACTGGGTTTCACAGAGGCCCACAGCTTGGCTGTGTATCCGGGCACTGCTGGGGTAGCACTGGACTGCTAACCACAAGGTTGCTGGTTCAAACACATCAGCCATTCCTTAGAATCCCTATATACAGTTGCTATGAGTCAGAGCTGACTTGAAGGCACTTAAAACCAACAGATAAAGAAGTACAGCCGGGTGTTCAGAAAACAGCTCCCGGTATTGGACAACTGGCCACATACCACTGGGGCTCTTCAAAACATTTCAGTTCAGAGGATACATACAGCATTGGTCCACCCAGAAGGTGGCCACCATGTAACTCTCTGTGGGGGCCCTACAGCAGTCCAGACACCCAGGAGCGCTCTCTGTCCAGTGACAGTTCAGTGTAAGAGACATGACAGCCACACACCATTGTCTTCACAGGCCCCCAGCTGCCAACGTCTCCTGTAACAATTGACAGGAGCAGAGATTCCCAGGGTCACCGAGTCACTCACTCAGGGAAGCCCCAAGAGCTGGTGTCTCCTTCACTTTTATCACAAGTGACTCTCTACCCTCATTAGCCTACCAGTTAGTCACCTGGAGGTCACATCCTGACACAGAGGAAGCATGGCAGGGGTCTGACAGCAATTCTGATGTGGGGCTACTGTGCTCCGGGGCAGCATGTATCATGCCACTGTTTGATTGGATGGCCTCACTCCCCTCACGGCCCCCAGAAAGAACAGGCATTGTGTACAATTTTCTAATTAGGGGCAGATATTTCATATCTAACTCAAGAAACTATTTTTTTTTCATTCTAGACTTAAAATGCCTTGATGTCTCCCCCTGACAGAACCGTCAACATGATTCCTTCTTCATTCCTCTGGGCCTGTCTCCACAAACTCGCAATGAAAATGTTTGAAACTCTTAAAAGATGTTCTATGTTAGAAAGGACAAAGGTCTCAAAATGCTGGTGACACAAACCTGAGCTGCATGCCAATGTTAAGGTTGTGCAGGAAGTTGCCCCCGAAAGCCATACAGTCCTGAGAAGTGAGTACAGCGTGAATCCATCCTGAAATGAAAAGGCACCTACATCAGTGATGGACCAAGACGTAAGCCAAAAACCGTGCTGTCTGTCTGTGAAGCAGCACGCAACACCCATCTCCTTCATGCTCCCGATGCCTACTGATATGGCAAGTTGCATGTAGCATGTGGAGGAAACAAAGGCACTGGCCCCACTAGAAGGGAACAGAAGGGGTCTGGGGTTGCTTTGGAGAGTTGGAAACAACAACTCCCTTCAGAGATCTGAGACAAGTCACGTGAGTCAGGATTAGGGATGCACACGCCCCATAAGTGGGCATGGGACTGTCAAGCACGCCATCTGAGGCTGCATCCTTGGATCCCTCACCCCATAGAGGTGGACTCCAAGGAGCGCAAAGGCAGCTCCAGAGAGTCAGAATCGCCTTGGTAGAAGCTATGTGTTTGAGGATTTCACCGTCTCGCAGTGTTGCTGCACCCAAGCAGGTCCGTGTTGAAATATGGTTTTACTACAGACAACTCTGATTTCTTCTTTTTTAAAACAGACTAGTTTCTAGAGAGCAGTTTCGGATTTGCTGAGCTCCCATCCAGACTTCCCTTTATTTCTTCTTTATACTCTAGTTTGGTCGTAAGTTGAGTTTTTTAAGTGATTTGTGCAAAAGGGTATGTTGCGTATGAATTTGTAGCCCAGATTTGGAAGTGGGCACAGCAGAACGTGTGCATTAATGGAGCATCAGGAAGAGGATGCATCAGGAGGGAGCAGAACTCACTCACAATTCAGATCCTGGTGCGTATCTACACAATGTGAGAGTTCTAGGCATCCGTTCCGTCAATGGATCAGCACACGTACTGTTCTATACACCAGAGATGAGGCCAATGGCAGGACCAGCAGTGGCAGGACCAGTGAACTCTGTGGTCATTACAGCCCCTCAGACCAGAAAGACTGTTCTCAGAACACTAGCCTGGAGAGTCAGCTGTCTGTCACGGTCACATGTCAAAATGGCATCCCTGGTGTGGACACTTGAGGATACTACCAAGGCCAGGCCCAGGCCCTTCCTAAGACATGTGCTCCTGGAGCTGGGTGGCAGCCCGTTCTTGGAGCAGGCGAGGCTCTTCACTGCAGATGGGCTGACTGGTGCTAAAGCTGAAGGGCCTTTATAAAACGCTACAACTTTGGACTTCCAAAGGGCGCACTAAAAAAAGTGAGAAGACAATGTAGAGTGGGAGAACAATTTATAAAAATCATGAGGAACCAGGGTATACAATATATATGGAACTCTTACTATTCAACAGGTAAAAGACAGCTCATCCAACTAAAGAATGGGCAAAGGGTCTGCATGGACATTTCAAAAAAGGCATCTTGTTTGCCCCTAAGACTGACTGCGTCAAGTAGGAATCATTTCAGCCATCAGATGGAAGGAAAAAAAAGCCTCTGCTCTTAGTCATCATGGAAATGCAAAGTTAAACCACAACAAGGCAACACTTCACACCCACTAGGATGGTCACAAGAAAAAAGACATTAAACAAGTGCTATCAGGGCTGTGGAGAAACTGGACTGCTCACTGCTGGTGGGACCGTCAAGTGGGGTAGGGTAGGTGAAGGCCTTACCTGTTGGAACAAATAAGGTATGTCCCTGCTTTACCACACATTTGTGGCATTTATCCACCTTATCTCCAAAGAAAACCTCACTCTGGGTCACAGAGGAACTCCAAGATTCATAGAGGGCCAGATTTTCCTCTGTTGGTTTTATCAAATAAAAGATCTTCTCACCCTATAAAAAAGCAATCATTTTGAAAAAGGAAAAACCATTCTTAGTACGGTCTACATTTCCCAATACAAGGACCTAGATTAAGCTGGGTAACCGGCAGGTCACCAGAGCTACCTCTCCCAGAGATAATGACGAGTCAACCCAGGAGTGTTGGAGAAACCAGTGAAAGAGGAAGGTTTTTGTTGTTGTTACGTGCTGTGGAGTCGGTTCTGACTCATAGTGAAACCCTGTACAGGGTTTCCGAGGCTGTCAATCTTTACGGGAACAGAAAGCCTCATCTTTCTCCCGTGGAACAGCTAGTCGTTTCGAACTGCTGTTCCTGAGGTTTGCAGCCCGATTCGTAACCACTACACTACCAGAGGTCCTTAAAGAGGAAAGTACAGAACTGCAAACATGGGGTGCTGGTCTCCTCTCGTCTCCAAGGTTTGGACGGTCAACGGTATTGACAGGCCTCCCGCTACAAAGCCATCTCTGCAATCTTTGCCCTTCCTCTTAAGATCTAGAAAATGATGATGACTTTTAAATATCTATAAACCAGCATCCTCATGGGGTGAGAGCTGGGGCTCTGGGACACAGGGTCAGATGCAGGCCCCAGCAGTGCTGAGGCATGCAGATATCTGAGAGTCAGATTTGGTTCTAGGTCTTTCTCTGTGAGAGTGAAGATGTTTAGATCCATGCTATCCAGGACAGTAGCTGTTAGCCACATGGAGCTACTGAGCACTTGACACGTGGCTAGCACAAATGAGGAACAGAATTTTTTTTTTTCAAAATTAACCTATTTTATTAAAACATATATACTTAGCAATTATATTCTCAATTACGGGTCTTTGAAGAGCAAGGTGGTTCCATAAAATAAGCACTGGACTTCAAACCACAAGGTCCTCAATACAATCCTGCCAGCCATTTCTCAGAAAAAAGATGAGGCTTTCTGCTCCCGCAAAGATTTAAAAGCCTTGGAAACCCTATACCTGGTCACTATAAGTCAGAACTGACTTGATGGAACTTAATAACAATATGAGTCTTTGGTCAAAATATTTTAAAATTGGGAGAACAGACCTTGCTATGTTTTTTATCACCAGCAATAACCATTTGTAATTCAAATTTAATGCAGTCAAAAGTTAGAAATAAGGCATAGGTTGAAGTCAGTTCTTAGTTCAACATTTGGTATTACCACTTACTGCCAATACAACTTGGGAAATTTATGGAAAGTTTGCATACTTCTATATACTTGGTACTGTGTAAGGCCCTTAACACAGATTGTTACTTACACTGGAGTCTCCAGACCACAGAATCATATAGCGTTCCACATCTTACTTCTGTTCCTTGATTTGCTAGCCCTGTGTTTTGTACATTTTATCTCTTTAAAGATTATTTTCTTATCTGCAACATGGTATAATAATACAAAACAAATAATGATCTCAAGTTTTAAGGGCATCAGCAATACGTAAGACTGACACCATGTAAAAATACTGCCAATACCCCTAATAGAAGATTCTGTGATCATATATATACTGGTCCATGGTATGCTTGTGGGGAAGTGTTCTATAAAGTAGAACAAGGAGCAACTTTTGACCAAGATTTATAGTTAAACTAATGACTTGTTAATGTTTTTTCATTTGTAGCTGTAACTGTCTTTGCACGCCACCCTTTGAAATCTTTTCTGTTCAGCTCTTTTACTTCATTACTTCCTTTTGTTTTATCTAATCAATGTTCAAGAGAAAGTTTCAGGGTCTCTTGTGACATCCATTTTGGTCTTTTGTTTCCTGTCTTTTTAATGCTCTTTTGCTTTCTTCATGTATGATGTTCCTGATGTCACCCCAAAAGTTGTCTGGTTTTCAGCCAGTAGTGATCAATGCCTGAAATGTATTCTTTTTTTTTTTTTTTTAAAGTTTTTACTGTTAAGGTTTACATGGGAGAATATCAGCTTTACACTCATCCTACTGTATTTCATTTCACTGCAATGATTACAGTCCCCTCCATGCATCATCATATAACCCCGAAGGGTACACCGCACAGGCCCGCCCCCCACTGCCGAGGAGCTGAGTTTTTAATTAGATTTCATTTTCATTATAGTCCTTGGGTGGTTACTAAATGAAACAGTTATGGCCATTCAAAGCACCCAGGAAGAAATGTCTGGTGATCAACTTCTGAAAACTCATCCACTGAAAACCCTGTGGAACATAGTTTTACTCTGACACATGTGGGGCATCATCATGAGTAGAGTCTATGAAAAATTAGTCATCGAAAACCCTGTAGAACATAGTTCTACTTTGACATACATGGAGGCACCTTGAGTTGGAATCTACTTATGAAAAATCAGCCACTGAAAATCCTGCGAAGCACAGTTCTATTCTGACACCCATGGGTCATGGGTCATGGGTCATGGGTCATGGGTCGCCATGAGTTGGAACCAACTTGAGGAAACAGGTTTTTAAACTGTAATGACTTAAATTTAAATAGCCATGTGTGGCTAGGGACTACTGTGCTAAGTAGCACACTTCTAGACAAAGCACAAGGGGGATGTAAATTGCAAAGAAATGGTATTAGGATATGGGCACTCCTGCCTTATCCAACGAGGTGTCCGAGCCCAACCATAAGGCCAGAAACAGTTGTGATGATCATTTTGGTCCTTTCTCAGATGTATGACTCAGAGACAAACTACTCCCTGACTAGTCATCAGGGGGAAGGAAACCCCTAGCTCTCTCTCACATTATGGGCACACTCAGTTCAGTGGGCATCACTTTACCGCAATTCGCAGATACTACGGGTTTGGGGATTTTGTTTTTATTACAAATTGAAGCTTTGTGGCAACCTTGCATTGATCAAGTCTATCGGCACCATTTTTCCAACAGCCTGTGTGTACTTGTTTCATATCTATGTTACATGTTTGTTATCTTCATGACATTTCAAACATTTCTCATCACACTATTGTAGCACATGGAATAGACTACAGTGTAGTATCAACATAACTTTTATATGCTCTCGGAAACAAAAAAATTCGTGTGACTCGCTTTAATGCCACATTCGCTTTATCTCTGTAACCAAACTCCTGGCCTCTCCGAGGTCTGCCTGTATGTGGAATCGAATAAAAAGGTGGGTGCAAAGATAGAAGTTTCTGTAGAAGCAAAGGTGAGAGAACTCTTCTTTCCAAGAGCTTCTTCCCTACTTCTTGCTTCACAGTAAACATCTGATCAATATATTCACATCTCAGTGGTTGGAAACAGAGACAGAATGTTTAAAGGAAGGTGAAGAACTAACTGAAAATGCGCCCCCTTTACAAGTATCACTGACAGCCGAGACCGCATCTTACCCAGAGGACATGGTACCAGACTGAAGTGCCACCGAAGTCGATGTGGAAATCTGTGTAGCTGTCTTGAACACCCATTAAGCAGTATTTCTGAACAAATGGCTTAGGAAAGACGGAATCGTCTGGCCAGTAATTTTCTACCCAGGAAAGTTTTCTGGCTATATCAGGGACTTCCACCAATTCAGACATCCTTTAAAAAAAACAACAGACACACACTTACATGCACGCCTATGTCATGCAAATAAAAACTTCTTAAAATGCCATCTCCCATCTCACCCCAACAAGACTAACAGTGGGAGAGTTTAAAGCAAATCTTGTTTCTAAATATTCTCAGACTGTTCCAGAGTAAAATGTACGGTGACTGCCACCCCGCGACCACTTTAGAAGCCACAGTGGCTTACTAAAATCAGTTGATGATTGTTGCTGCTCTTATTGAGGGCCGTCAAGTCGGTTTTGACTCAAAGCGACTCTGTGTAGGGTTTCCCAGGAGCGGCTGGTGAGCTTGACCAGACTGTCCTGAACTACTCACTTTGTATCTGAAAACTCCAGGCTGATCACATTTAACACTTTCGGTCTGTTAGGGTTTGTGAAGTAGTCTACATAATTGTGAAGCGTCATTTTGCTGTCTGCCTGTCTTGCCACATCGATGACGTCAATCACTTTGTCACCACCTGGAAAGACAAGGAATAGTCTGGTTATTGGGACTCGGGGTTACATCAATAGATGCCCTACCCAGAAAGGTCTTAAAGCCATCCACAAAATCACATCTCCAAGACCCTGCCTATATTCTAAGTTCAACTGGAACTTTATTTTGGAGGGTGGGGGGGAGAGAGAATAAACAGCTCTGCACAATTAACACTCCCCCGAGAGCAAAATTCACATGGCTTCTGAGACATTCTTCCTACCAAGGACTTCCTGTGTGCAGTTCACACTGACAAAGATGTCATACTGAAACTGTGGGGTGCTTTTGGAGGTCCAAACACCTCATCCATAAAGTGAGGGGATTGGTGGCCTACTTGACAATGAATTCCCACCCTGTTTGGTATTACTTCTCTTACATGTAAGACTGAAGAGCTCTCACTACCAAAATCAGGTGAGTGGATGGTGAATCAGAGACAAGTTGCCCTGGACACACAGGTTCTGCTGGCCTGGCCCTGCCTCCTCTTTTTAAAATTCATCTACGTATTTTTAACAAGGTGATCTATCTCTCGGACAGACTCCAATAACTGTGCTTTGAATCCCACAGCGCATTGTCACCTTCAGCTCTGGAAGGGCACCCAAGGGTGTGGAGAAGTGTATCTTCCATGCTGGCTCGGGTCAAAGCCCTGAGCTTTCTTTTAATACTTGACTTTAAGAGAGAACAAGTCAGTAGGAGGCAGAATGAGCTCTGAACTGGGATCATGCTGCCCCGCCATCCTGGGTAGCACTGCCAGCTTTGCAGTGACTACAGGAGAGGTGGGTTTCACCATAGGGCAGCTCTCACCCGATCTGAAGGAGAAAGTATGGCGATGTCCTGCTACTACGGGGATGTAATGTGACAGACAGGTGGTTAGGATAGAAAGCACTGTCCAACCAACTCCTTCATTGAGCCTTTAGCAGAAAGACGATCCTGTTACAAGGATGTAATGAAGGAAACATGCAGCTTGGAGTAACAAGCAACTGGACTTCAGTTGTACTTATTTTATTTCACAGTGCTATCGATGTTTATTTCACAGTGCATGAGGTTGCCCCTCCGCCTCATCCCTGACTTATCAAACCTATAAAATCGGCAGAGTGCCAAACCTTGACATTTCAGTGGATTTTCTCAGGAACACAGACGCCAGTGAGACTTGTCACCCAGTGGTTGATGAAAGCCTGAAGTCGGAGAGACCTCATGCTGGGCAGCTTGTGTGCTGCAGTGGATTGACAATATGGAGGACTGGTAGATTTCAGAGCTAATCTCCAAATCGCCTGTATCTGTCACTGACAGTCAGTAAGAACCACCTATCGGTATCAGGAAGAGAACCAAGGAAATGATGGGAAAGGTAATAAATGTAGTAACAAATGAAGGGCTCTTTGCCTTGTCTTTGACACCTTATAGGGTTTTAACCTCACACAGTCATATATGGCATGAAGAGACATTTAAGATGACCTCCTTTTTCTGTGGTCCTTCCTCCTCTAAGCAGCAGGTGACCACCAGCCCAGGATCCAGAGGCCCAATCCAAGTGAGGTTACTGTAAAGAGATGGCTGGAGGGCTCAGTTGAGGACCTCGCACTGCGATTTCCAGAGGCCCAGAGCCAGGCCAATTTCCAGATGTCTGGTTTTTCCTGGTATAGGCAGCCTCACCTCAGCAATGGTTTTCCCTAAGCAAATACCAGAAAAGTCACCAACTCTATAAAAGCAGATGATGAGGCTGAACAGGGTTTATTTTTCTGACAATTGTCTGTCTGCTGAGAAAACAGTTTTCAACAAGAGGGCAATGTTGAGTTTCAGGTTCTTTGAAACAAAAAACTGAATGGAATCAACCTGTCTTTTAATATGATTGGGACACTAACCATTTTCTCTGGCCAGGTTTTTCCAAGGACTTAAAGGAATCAGGTTCGTACCTACATAACGTTCCACGTCCGTAACAGAGAAAGTCGGTGGAGGGAGCCTCAGTCCTAGGTCATCTAACTTAGGGACCATAATGGGGACGTCGAATCCATGCTTCTCCAGGTATCTCTGCGTCAACTGACCACCATGCATCTTCACAATGACCTCATCGGCACTGAGGGAAACAGAGAGGGAAACGTTACCTTTGTTGGCAAGTTCAGCTTAAAAAGAAAATAGTGGATTCATTCAAATGTTACTGACGTGTGTATATGATGTTATTATTGGCACTGGGCATGCTATTTATATTACTATACTGTGTTATGACAGGTTCTCAACCTATTGTACCTAACTCCTTTTTTCTAACAAATGTTTTGAAAACTCCCCTTTCGTTTCCAAAAGTAAAACCCATAGATGATGGTGGTGGTGGTGGTGTGCCGTGGAGTCGGTTCTGACTTACAGCGACCCTGCACTGAGTTTCCCAAGCTGTAAATCTTTACAGGAGAAGAACGCCTCATCTTTCTCCCACAGAACAGCTGGTAGTTTCGAACTGCTGACCTTAAATTTAGCAGCCCAACTCGTAACCACTACGCTACTAGAGCTCTTCCATAGATAATAGATGCTTAAAAGCCCAGACCCACTGCTATCATGTCAATTCTAACCTAGAGCGTGCCTCCAGAGCACAGTACAACAGCTCCCTATGGTCTGCAACACTGTGCACGCGGTATGGGAGCAGGAGTGACTGCTGGGCTTGAACTGCCAATCTTGCAGTTAGCAGCCTAGTGCTTAACCCACTGTGCCACCAGGACTCCTTTCATAGAAAGCACTTTCTCCAATACACATTATTGAAAATAAAACTCTCCTCTGAAATACGAAACTCCATAAGAATAGCTGTTGGACATTTCCAAGCTGAACAGGACTTTGTCTGGAGCTGGCCTGGCCCATGAGGCTGCCAAGTATCCCCGGCTGGCCACCCTGTTCAGAAGAAGACTTAAAACTGAACAAAGTGGAGATGGGGACAACAACCCACTCATTTTCTTTATTACACTTTGGAGTTAAAGACACCAGGTATGTATAATGGTGTTCCTCTGCTGTTATTTCAATGACGCTAAGGTCTATGGAGTTAAAATAAAACCAGCAGACCTTTAATTGGTAGTAATTAGAGTTTGGACATTTGTGCCCATCTCAGTAAGCTACTCTCATACATGTTCACTATGCAGGAAAGCCATGGGTATTGCTTAGCCAGGGGTGTTTCGGTGATCTGAGACACGAGCTTACTTGACAGTGAAGTCTAACGAAAGTTCCAGTGTCTCCTTGCCGGACACGCACGTCACACACAGCCCTTTCAGGAAGCTCACTGCTTCTCTGAGCCCGCTGCCCACCACAGGCCCAGGCTGGAAACTTGGGCACTGGGCTCTAATCACGCATTTGCCAAAAAAAAAAAAAAAAGGGCAAAGAAAGCCAAACGTGTGAAACTGTTACACAGAGGCTATTTGAGAATAGGGCCCTGTACAGCAGAAACAGCAGGGGAACACTGTGCTCAATTGGCTGCTTTCACTCAGGAGAACGTAGGGAGTCAGGAGTAGAAGCTTATCCTTCATGGTTTTCTGTGTAAGGAGCAGTAGATAAGAATCGTACAGAATGTGGAGAAGTAGCAGGTTCCATAATAGACTGTGTGATACTGTGATTCGAACTGAAATTGTGCCTCTCCCTATCACTAGTCTGGGTGTGATCTTGCATAAAAGCACTTCAAATACACGTTGGGCAGTGAGCAGGAAATGATCTAAATTAATGCCATTAAATGCTTCCGAATGCTTTAGAGGCTCTCCGAGCCATGGACAAACTCAACACATTTCACTAGCCTTGGTCAAAACACCCAACTGCCCTCAGTCACCCTGCAGGTCTGGAACTGAGCTCACACCTAGAGCTCAACGGGGGAAATTATACCAGGGAGGTACTCACTCTGTAGTAGAGTCAACCATGGGATCAGAAGAGCAGTCATACCAAGGACCAAGTTCAGAAGGGGCAGGAAGGAAGAACTGGAGACAAGAAAGACCAGGAGGAGGTGGGAACAGTGACATCACACTGAGGGGACGGCAGTCAGTGAGGTGAGACACAAGGTGTGTGAACTGCTGAATGGACCACTGACCATGTGTAAACCTTCATCCAATTCACAATAAACACACACCAAAATCCCACCCAGCCCAATGTCACCAAACTGGGCCACAGCTGTGGGCACCTCCCTTCCAATAGGTCTGGTGGATACACAGATAAGGATACAACAGAAGAAGAAGAGAGAGTTGGCAAATAGAATAGAGGTGCGCGAAGACACAGCTGCATCTTAATAAGAGTCAAGTTCTGGGAAGAGTGCCTCAGAGTCATGGACTGTGACTCAGAATAAGAATCAACTGCCCATGGTCACCCAGTATGGGCACACCTCAGAGGCATTGTGGGTTCGGTTCCAGACCATAAAGGGAGAGGCGATATAGACAAAGAATAAATTAAATAAAATACAAACTTTAAATAAATAAACAAAGTTGATTTGGTCGTAGAGTAAGTCCCGGGTGTGTCTAACGGCTATGGAGACGCAGGCTGCAGTCTTCTAATTGTGGAAAAGTCTCAAATACTGTGAGCATCACCAAAATGTGACGACAGAGAGACATCAAGTGGGCACACCCTGTTGGAAAAATGGTGCCAGCAGACTTGCTCGAGGCAGGGCTGCAACCAATGTTCCATTTGTAAAGAACACCGTCTCTGCAAAACACAGTCAAACAAGGTCTGCCTGTATACCCTAAACATACAGACAGGAACGCCACGAGACCATGCTGACGTAACCCGGAAACGCAAAGCAGATCCACTGCCATCAGGCTGTCTCTGCCTCATAGTGACTGGACGGAGAGCTCGATACTGCAGATCTTTACGGGAGCAGACAGCCTCTTCTTTTACCTAAGAGGCAGCTAGTGGGTTTGAACCTATAACCTTGCGATTAGCAGCAGCCTGATGCTTACCCCATAGTGCTACCATGACTTGCAATGTACTGATTTTTCCTATCCAATTCTAACCTATCTCACTGAAAAAACAAAAGCGGTGGAAAGCTGGCTGAGGCACGCTTCCCCGGCCCGCAGTCCATGTGTTCCACAGCATACCTAGGGAAGACCCGAGCCCGCAGCTCCCTCACAAAGGCCCGGGTCCCCGCCTGTACTGGTTTGGAGCCATCGTCGACCTCCGTGCAGTCATGTCGATGCCAGTTCCTCCTCTCCTTCACTAGAGAGAAGACGGAAGAGAGGAGAGGTGAGTCATGGCGGTCTACATAGTCACAAGTTATCATTGTTGATACGGCAAAAAACAAACCAGGTTTTCATGCATTTCTCATGCACATCTGGGCCCAAACTGTCAAATCTATATATCGTAACACTGCAATTACAGGTACAGGCAGTCCCCTGGTTCCAAACAGCCACTGACTTCAAACACTTGTACTGGCCCTTTAAGGTGATGCAAATTAGTCCACGGTTTGAAATGACTGAACCCTTACTCCCAATAAGTTCTTCATCACCTTCACTAATGCCTGTGTAGAGTTTCAATCATGTAAAACGCTTCCAGTCTTCTCTGCATTAAAGTCAGGCTACATAAGAACCATCAGCACCTGTTCCAACTGACCTACAACTGCAACTTACTTAGACTTAGAGACACACATAGGGATAGGATCTGGTTTGTAACCCAGGCTCTACTAGTAATCAACACTGGGAAATGTACATATAAACAAGATGCCAGACGGCGAGAGGGTGGGACAGGCTATGGCTCCATCAGCAAGTAGCGACAACTGCTAATGGCAGAATCTAGACAGTGGGCTTACAGGTTTCCTGTGTGTTTGAGGGTTTCCAGAACAAAAGCATTAAGGGGGAGCAGTCTAGGTGACTTCTAATTCTTCAATTTATAAATTACATAATAATAAACTAACACTGGATCCTCAGGAAATAATCCATAGAGGTGGGCAACGGGCTTATTCATACGTAAGAATCTAAGACAAGATTCCCATGGCATTCAGTATGAAAGAGAGTAAAGGCCACTTTTTAAAAAATTGACTAGAAAAACTGAGAATCGCTGAGCCATCTTGCTAGAGCTTTTGGACCTGATCTTAACGTAACAGTGATAAAAGGAGGACAGGCCATTTAACACGAACTGATGAATATGGAGAGCCCACTCTTTTGTATGAGGAAACATCCAAAACTCATGTGTATGTAACAGGAGGCTTTTCCCATACACATGGAGATACATAACCCCTACCATTTTCAACTGGGATCATGACCACGTGTATCTTGCTTTTCTTTCTTACCCTATCAAGAGCATTCCTCTCCATTACATATTCAGAAGCAATTTAAAGGCACCCATTGAAGTCCTGGTGTGATGCTGTAGGACTGCTAACCACAGGATCAGTGGTTCAAACCCACCAGTTGCTCCTTGGAAACCTATACAACTGGCCCAACGGCACTTAACAACAGAATTTAAGAGGTATGTGCACCAGACTGTAGTCATTTCTTGATTTTTAAGCACTTAGATTCCTTCTGAATCTTTCTTCAAACAATGTTGAGATTAATATTCATATACAGCAATCTGCTTCCTTGATTCATTCCTCGGGAGAAGTCCCTAGAAAGGCTGAAACACAGCCTACCAACCATTCTGAGCTTCTGGTTACGAACAACCAAGTGTTCTTCTGCCTCCCAAACAGTGCTGCTGGCCCATTCTCACCAGTATTGTATCAGCAGCCCAGTTCAGGACCCTCGTCAACAGTGCGTGCCAGCACTAACAATAAAAGTCTCCTCCTGGGCAGGAACCAATGGAATCACGCTGTTTTCATCTGAGTGTGTACACAACAGCTGAGCCAGCTGTGAGCACTGGCTTTGGGTTCAAACTCCAGCTCTGTCAAGGTAATCCATGACTGAACTGGATCGTTTCCTGAATTCTCACACTGTGCTGTGAGGTCAAATGCTGACTTAGTGAAGTGCATGCCATGTGCCAAGCTGTGAAGGACTGTGATTTCCTCTTCAATGTGCTGACTTGCAGGAAGTTAACAGAAATCGACAATAATTCTGTTAGGTCAGCCTGTCTCAAACTTGCAGTCAGCCCAGCTGTGGTCACAGGGAAAACCCACTGTCACTGAGTCCCTTCCAATTCATAGTGACTCTAGAGGGTAAGTAGCATTGCTCCCTAGGGTTTCCAAGGTTGTAAATCTTTACAGCAAAGACTGCCTCATATTTCTCCTGAGTCACAGGGAAAGGAGAGAAAACGTTGTGTCTGGATTACATGTGCCTGTGGAGAAACAAAACTGTGTTGAAGTGTTGCCTTGTTTTCTGATCCCTTGCCTCAATGTGACTTTCTACTCCTGTAAAGATTTATTGTTGCTGTCAGGTGCCACCCTTCAGTTCCAGCCCATAGTGACCCTGTGTAAAACAGAAGGCAGCACACTGCCTGGACCTACAGCAACCTCACAATCTTGCTACATTTGAACCTAATTGCTGCTGCTGCCATGCCAATCCATCTCTTTGGGGGTCTCCCTCTTTGTTTCTGACCCTCCACTTTAGCAAGCATGATGTCCTTCTCCAGGGACTGGTCCCTCCTGATAATATGAGAGACGAAGTCTGGCCAACTTGGCTTCTACGGAGTATTCTGGTTGTACTTCTTCCAACACAGATTTATTTGTTCTTCTGACAGTCCATGGTACTTTTAATATTCTCCTCCAACACCTTAACTCAATTTTCACATGCATATGAGGCTATTAAAAATACCATGGTTTGGGTCAGGCACACCTTAGTTCTCACTCTGACATCTTTACTCTTCAACACTTTAAAGAGGTCCTGTGCAGCAGATTTGCCTAATGCAATATGTTGTTTGATTTCCTGAATGCTGCTTCCATGAGTGTTGATGCTAAGACTTCGACAACTACAATCCTTTCTCCATTTATCATGATGTTACTTATTGGTATAGTGGTGAAGATATTTGTTTTCTGTACATTTGATCTTCTTCAGTAAACATTTTAAGTCCTCTTCACTTTCAGCAAGCAAGGTTGTATCATCTGCGTATCACAGGTTGTTAATGAGTCTTCCTCCAATCCTGATGCCACATTCTTCTTCATAAATCCAGCTCCTTTGATTATTTGCTCAGCATACAGATTGAGTAAGTATGGTGAAAGAATACAACCCTGGCACACACCTTTCCTGATTCTTAGACCATTAGTTCTTCATGAGCACAATTAAGTGTTCTGGAATACCTGTTATCCACAAAGTTGTCCATAACTTGTCATGATTCACACAGTCAAAAGCCTTTGCATCGTCAATATAGCACAGGTAAACATCTTTCTGGTATTCTCTGCTTTTGGCCAAGATCCATCTGAAGTCAGCAATGATATCCCTAGTTCCACCTCCTCATCTGAATCTGGCTTGAACCTCTGGCAGTTACCTGTCAATGTACTATTGCAGCCATTTTTGTATTATCTTTTGTAAATTTTTACTTGCTTGTGGTATTAATTATATAGTCTGATGATTTCTGCATTCTGTTGAGTCAACTCTCATTTGAATGGGCACAAATATGGATCTCTTCCAATCAGTTAGCCACATAGCTCTCTTTCAAATTTCTTGGCACAGGTGAGTGTACGCCTTCGGTGCTGCGATAGTTTGTGGACAGATTTCCATTTTTATTCAATCATTCCCGGAGCCTTGTTCTTTGTCAATGCCTTTAATGCACCTTGGACTTCTTCCTTCCTTCAGTATCATTGGCTCTTGATCATATGCTACCTCTTGAAATGGTTGAACAATGGCCTACTCTTTCTGGTGCAGTGACTCTTAGTTTTCTTTCTGTCTTCTTTTGCTCCTTTCTACATTATTTCATAGTTTGCCCATAGAATCCTTCAGCAGCGCATGTCAAGGCTTGACGTTTTCGTTCAGTTCTGTCCACTAGAACGCTGGACGGGCTCTTCCTTGTTGGCGTTCTAACTCAGGTCTTTGCACATTTTGTTAAAAGATTTCACTTTGTCTTCTCGAGCTGCCTTTTTTGAAATTTTCTGTTCAACTCTTTTACCTCCTTAGTTCTTCCATTTGTGTTAACATCTCCACACTAGAGAGCAAGTCTCAGTCTCTTTTGACATTCATTTTGGTCTTTTCTTCCCTCCCTTAACGACCTTTGGCTGTCTTCCTATCCGATGTTCTTGATGTCATCCAACAACTCTTGTTTTTCCATCATTAGTGTCTAATGCATCAAATCTGTTCTTGAAATAATCTCTAAATTCAGGTGGAAGATGTTCAAGGTCATATTTTGGCTCCTGTGGACCTGTTTCAATCTTCTTCAGCTTCAGCCTGAACTTGCACAGAAGCAACTGATGGTCTGTTCCACAGTCTGCCCCCAGCCTGGTCTAGCTGATGACAATGGATCTTTTCCACAGATGTATTCGATTTGATTTCGTACAGATTTACAGACGCAGAAACCAATACAGGGTCACTATCAACTGAAACCAACTCCATTGCACATAGCCACCACCATTAGAGTTCTGAATTCCCGTTACGGAGGGTGAAGTCTAAATTGCCTGTAAGTAGTAATATTACACTGGTTAAATGGTTTATAATACAGATTCCTGGAGATCAGGAAACCCTGGAGAACAAGAAAGGGAGACTTAGTAGCAGAGGGAAGGAATCTAAAAAGGATTAGGGAATGGGGGTGGGGGGGGGAGGGCTGTCCTGGATTATAGAGGGAGGGTGGGATGGCCCAGGTTAGCCTACAATCCAGATAAAACTGACTGTTGCATCTGGGTCCTCAGAGTGGGACTTCCGCTCCGAGGGAGTCAATGCCTGATGCTGAGTTATTCGAGGCTGGGAAGCGTCAGAGCAGGCAGGGTTCTCTCTAGAGCAGCGTTTTTGCAAAGTGCAGACCATGGTCTAGGATGGACTGCAGTATCAATTGGGTGAGAACACCAAGCTTGTTAAAAAAAAAAAATGAAATCCAAATAAAAAAAAGAAAATAGACTGCATCACATGTAGTAGACTCTTACACATTATCCTGCCTCCTGATAATCAACTTTACACAAGAAGCTTGGGAAAAAATCTACTATCTGTGAATTCCATTCCTCCATGAATTTTTTTAAGTCCTCTCAAATTTCAAAGAAATGTCCAATTATTTCTCTTGGGGATTATACAGTTAAATTCTCAACTGAAACTGTTACAGATTTTAGTTCTGGTTCCTTTGAGATGACAATCTGAGAATATTTCCTTCCTGTAAGAATTATGCTTGATCAACAACTATCTCAAATTATATAACATATACTTCAGTACTACCTGGTATAAGGTTCTTTAAAAACATTGACAATAAGATAGTGAATTTATACATGCAACAGTTCTGTGGAACTAACCAAGTGGATCATCTATATCTTTTAAGGAACTATTTTACTGAATTCCTATAGCTTTGATTTTTAATCGCTTACAAGTAAAAAAAAAAAAAAGTAATGTTAAACATTCTGACAAATGCTCCTTCCAGCTCTAACATGACTAAGTGGAAAAATGGAATGAAAAGGTAATGAAATTTTTCCACAAACATTTTGAAGTCCCCTGGTACATACCTGTTTGGAGACTTTGCTCTGGTTATTGAGAACAATGTTATTTGTAATCTTTCAACTTATTAAAAATTTTAAACAAAAAAAAGAAATTCTAAATATCTTCAGTAATATCCTGCACTTCATGGCAGATGTACACGTCAACTAATTAGAGTGCCACAAAATATGATCACATACTCATTAGGTTCTAATAGCCTCTATAGTTCTTGCTGGGTGTAAATACATGTAGCGCTGTGGGATAAAACACTGGACGGCAAGGTCGGTTTGAACCATAAGGTCAACAGTTCAAACTTACCAGCCACCCCCTGCAAACTCTACATAGGTTACGTGTCGGAACCAACTCAACAGCACTTAACAACAACCAATATAACTAATCAGAGTGCTGTCACACTATTAGCACAGATTCATTAAATTCTAATATCCTCTCTATAGTTCTTGGTGGGTGTCGATATGACCAATTACTCCGACCCATAGTGATCCTGCATAGGGTTTCCAAGGAGCAGCTGGTGAGCTTGAACTACTGACCTTGCACAGTTCAAACAACTTTACAGTCTGACTCATTAGCCCACAGCGCCACACCAGGACTCCTACTAATTAGAGTCCTGTTAGAATGTTACCATGTTCGGTTCTAATAGTCTTCCTCTAGTTCTTGGTGGGTGTTGTACATGTAACTCATTAGAGTGCCGTAGAACATGATCACGTTAAGTTCTAGTATGCTCTCTCTAGTTCCTGCTGGGTGCACTATTACTAGTCACAGTGGCATTAGAATACTTGTGCTTCTAGTACTTACTCAAGGAGGAGCCGTGGAGAACTGCACAGTCAGGGCAGTGATACAGGTCAATGTCAAAAGCATGATGCTCTTCTACTCCAACACAGCTAAGATCAAGGAGAAAGAGTACAATGTTAGCATGTAAATAAGTTGAAAATCTCAAATACAATTGATTTATTGGAATTAAGCTGAGGTGTATACAACAACCTCACCAAGTTGTGTAAATATGATTGGCTTGGTTGCTTATGTGCCAGTGAGTCGACTCTGATTCATAGCGACCCTCTATAGGAATGCCACGGTGGTAAATCTTTATGGGAGTTGAAAGTCTACTCTTCCTTCCTTGGACCAGTAGGTAGATTCGAACTTTGACCTTGTGGTTAGCAGGCCAGCTCCGAATCCACTACACTACCAGAGCTCAGAAACGTATGCAAAGACAAAATGTATTCTCTTCCCTGCACACCTACTAAACAACGATCGGGGAGAAGTGACGCAAGTCCTTGGGAAGCCACTCATGGTCAGCAACAAGAGAGACACCAGAAGTCATGCAGATATACAAGCCACAAGACCCTCAACCATTGTGCAAATGCCGCCAGCGTGGTAAGAGCAAGTCTTAAGGGTTTGTCCCAGTTTCTAAGGGGGAAGGAGAGGAGAGAGGGTGGACATCACTAAGTTAACAGGTGCACAATGCAGTAAAATTATTCAGATTGGAGCAAGGAAGGGTAAGGTGATGGAAAATATACATTGGAAGGTCAGATCCAGAAATCATAAAATGTGAAGCTGGTGCATGCATCGACTCAGGGTCTGTCTCAGGAGGAAAAGAGAGAAATAGAGGCAATATAATGAGGAGATGACGGGTAAGAAATCCAGAAGTAATGAAAGACACAGATCCAGATTCAAGAAACTCAACAAATTCCAAGAAGGATAAATAAAAAGAAATTGACACCTAATAACATTACAGTGACACTGCAGAAAATAAGATAGAAAATCCTGGGACTGGAAGACAAACGAACAAGGACCCCTTGCAAAGATGACTTTTCAAAACACAACGTGAGCTGGGACACATAGGTCACCATCTTCCATGCACATCAAGAAAACATCTGCTGATTTAGAGTTTCAAAAGGACCAAAAGTACATAAATTAAAAAGACATATTTAGAGACAATGGAGCTCTAGCCCTGGTGGATGCAGTGGTTAAGCACTCAGCTATCAACCAAAAGGATGGCAGTTCAAACCCACTCGGGACAAAGTTGTAGCAGTCTGCCTCCTATTGGACAGTTCTTCTGTCCTACAGGGTCGGTAGGAGTCACTGCGGAGCGCACCTCCAGCTAGGCCACAGCAAAAGAAACATCAAAGAATGTCCTTCAAAAGAAGGACAATGTTCAAAGAAAAATGAAACACTAAGGAAGCTCTGAATGAGGGTCAGCGTGCACGCACAGACTCTACGACACAATACACACAGAGAGTTAAAATATAGGAGTACCCACGGCAGGACTGAGCCCAGGAGAGGAGACAGGAAATGCACGATTCACATTAGACTCTGGTGAATCCACGGTGTGTACTCCCATTTCCTGGGAGATCACTCACTCAAAGAGCAGAAGCAGAGAGTACAACTACCAAATCAACAGGAAAAAACAAATGTTTGAATAAAAAAAAAAACAACAACAAAAAAAACCCATACACACAGAAAAACAGAAGCAATGACAAGAGACATAAAGTCAAAACTGTGTTATATACAAATGGTAGGTGCTCCAGTTAAAGGAGCCAGATTATCCAACTAGATTCAAACATTACAATTCCATACCATGCTGTTTACAAGAGACACGTTACACATGCATGAGAAGGACACAGGAAGACAAAGTAATAAGATGGGAAGATAATAAGAAGCATGTGAACCATAGTTAAAAGAAAACAAAGCTGCATTAATATTTGTTGTGTCAGTTCTAACTCATAGTGACACTGTATAGGGTTTCCAAGGAGTGGCTGGTGTGTTTGAACCGCCAACCCTGTGTTTAGCTGTCCAGTGTGGATCCTATAGCACCACAGCAACAATGAAGTTTTTAAGTAAACAATTTAATGAGATGAATATGTTCCCTTCATAATGATAAAAATTGCAGCTCACCAAAATATACAACCCTCTGCCACTGAGTTGGTTCGAACTCACAGCAACCGTACATGACAGAGTCTATCTGCTCCACAGACAGGGCTTCTGAGACTCAGAAGCAGACTGCCTAGTCCTTGTTCCTGGGAGCAGCTGGTGGGTTTGAACCACTAACCTTTTGGCTAGCAGCTTGATGCTTACCTCACTGCACCATCAGGGCTCCTCAGGAGGACATAATGGGTAATTGTAACGAGAGGTTTTGACATCAACTGACAGAACAAGCAGGCAGCATGTCTGAAATGTGAGGGGGATTAAAAAGTTCATGGAACAACAGCATGGAAAAACGATGCACTTTTCTCACGAACTCTTTAAAGCCTCCTTTTATACAAGATTGGAGCGACAGGATTGAGAAATGTGGCCTACCAGTTTTGGAACTCTAAACCCAACATGTGTAGAACACACATTCAGTTCCAGGATATGGAGACCGCTGATATCAAGAGAGCAGGTCACGGGCCGAACCGCATTCCTGACCACAGGCCCAGTGAGCTGGAAATCAATACAAAAAGCTAGCTATTTGTGGGAATTAAGAAAGAAAGTTCTAAATAATGCATGAGTCAAAGACCCAATGATAATAAAAACCTGAAAACAATTTTGAGCTGAACAATCAAATACTTGGTAACAAAACTTGTGGAATAAACAATTTGTAAGTAGAACTGCATAGCTTTAAATGTATGTATTAGAAGAATTTTTAAAAAGACTGGAAATGACTGAGGATAGCATCCAGCAAAATAAATGTTAAGCACATAGTTAGAGAAAAAATAAAGGTAAGGACAGAAGAGCCATGACACGAAACACAGACAACGGAGCATCAAAGTTAAAACCAATTCTTCAAAAAGGCTGACAAAACTGAAAAAGTTCTACCAAGATCAAGAGAGAAGGCATGAAGTACTACATTAGGAATTTTCAAAGGGGCTAAGCAGAGATCAAACAGACATCAAATATGTAAGAGGATACGGTCAATAATTTTATACTAAGAAATTATAAAATAAAGAAAAAAAATGGGCAAATTGGATCATGAAGAAACAGAGTACCTCAGTAGTCCTATAACCACCAACTCAGACCTTTCCACAAAACAAAACAAAACAAAAACACCTCCAGACACAGATGACCTGACAAGGAAGTTATATAAAATATTTTTTAAAACTACACAATATCAATCTTCCATAAAATTTCTGAAGTAAAATTTGGTACAGCCACTTTGGAAAAGATTGTTCAATCAGAACCAAAGTACCACATATTCCATGACCAAGCAATTCCTTTTTTAAGTACGGGTTATCTTGGAGAGATTGGTGAACACATGTGACGAATCCCTACCCATGAAGTTTACAGCTAGAATTTGGTTTTCTTTCTTGGTTCCCGAGAAGTAACTCCTATTTTCCCACCGAGGCTCCAAACCGGAGGGTTTGTAGTAAGGAGGTGACTTTTGGGTGGAGGTTGGCCAGGCCAGAAAGACTCATCACATAAAACCATCCCAACCTCACAAACTGGATTTCCACATGCAGAAAAATGAAACAGGATCCATGCCTCACACCATACACAAAAATACATTCTAAATGGATTATGGAAACAAATGTGCAAAGTAAAACCATAACATCCTTAGAAGAACATGTAGGGACAACACTTTTATTAAGCCTAGGTTTTTAACAGCAAATTATCTAATATAACGATAGGAGCACAAACAACAAGAGACAATTTTTTTTAAATGGGTTATCATAAACATGTAAAACTTTAGTTCACCAAAAGACTTGACCAAAAAAGTGAAAAGGACAAGCTACTAACCGCAAGACTACCTTTGGAAACCACATATCCTTTAAGAATCTAAGCAAACGTCAACAACTTAACGACCAAAGACAACCCAACCATCAAATGGGCAAAAGACATGAATAGACATTTTTACAAAAAAGATACAAAAATGATCCCCAACACATGAGGAGATGCCATCAGAGAGCTACAAACCTAAATCACAGTAAAAACAAACAGAAAATGACACCTACTAGTGAGGACGTGGGGATGTCAGAACTCCTATCCAATGCTGGTGGGAATGCAAAATGGTACAGCTGGTGTGGAAGACACATCACATAAAACCAGTGTAGTGGTTCCTCAAAAAATTAAAATTAGAACGACCATCTGACCCAGCAGTCCCACTCCTAGGTATATGCCCAAAAGACCTATGGCCTCTATTCTTTTAATGTGTTTCTTCCCTATTTTGTAACTTGTATTAGAAATTTATACATGTATACGATCATAAAGGAGCTCTGGTAGCGTAGTAGTTACGAATCGGGCTGCAAACCACAAGGTCAACAGTTCGAAACTACCAGCTGTTCCGTGGGAGAAAGATGAGGCTTTCTACTCCCATAAAGATTTACACCCTCAGAAACCCTGTACAGGGTCACTATGGGTCGGAACCGCCTCGAAGGCACTTAACAACAACAATTTGTCTACTTGGAACAAAAGACACAAAGTAGACTATAGTCTAAAGAACTAAGTGCCTACCGGAACCACAGCCTCGTCGCCCTGTGAAGACTCTAATCTATAGAACTAAGTGCCTACAGGAACCACAGCCTCCTCGCCCTGTGAAGAGACCAGAAGAACTAGATGGTGCCCAACTGGCACTACCAATCATTTCTGACTAGGGCCACAACAGAAAGTCCCAGAGAGAATGGGAGAAAATGGAGGAAAAAAACCTCTAATTCTTATTTTTTAAAAAAGAACGTCTAATTTACTGGCGCAGAGACGTGGGGCGCCCTGAGAGGACTGCCCTGGATGCGCTGAACTGACATGACTTCTGTAGCCACCTTTCAGCTACATAAACAGTGTCACTTGTCAGTACTGTATCCCTAAAACTTAAAATCATCTATATGAGACTAAATGGTCAACAGAGAGCCTAAATGAGGAGGGCAGGGTAAGTAAGGTGAGTGGGACACTGGATTGATGGACATGAAACCCCCAG